ATCTCGCCAGACTGAATCTAAACTTCCCAGGCCAGCAAGCAAACACTGCGAATTCCTTAGGGTGATGCCAGTCTCATCCTCTTCACCTTTCCACGCTCATTCTGGGGGCTAAGGAAATGCTTATCTCCCCGAGCGCGGCCTTCACCAAACCATTCCATCACATCTACATATGTACGGCCTCCTTTTTGATAATCCACAAGGGGCAGTTTTCGGCGTTTCTGCACCTTCCAAATAGGGATGGGCTACTCCAAAGAGGGATGGGCTACTCAAGGTGGAATCTGCCTGCCCATTAGATGCAAGCCAAAAGGAAAGCTCTGGCTTCACATCACTGCATAGGATAGGGGGCACCCTGAAGGTAGGCCTCTTGGTTACAGGTTTCCATCACCGATCAGGAAGAGTGCCGTATATGTTGTAAGACTGTAACCTGCCTAGAATGTATGGAATAGATGATATACACAAGCTTGTAGAAGTAAATAATAAATAAACAAACTGCTATGCTATGGGTAACATAATACCTTTGTGAATGTGCTATCTGGTTTAACTTGAAAGTAAAAAATACTGTTCCCTTCAAACTTCATTTTCCATAAATATTAGTTCAATTCTCTAATTTTAATTTTAGATTGGATATAATCCATCATAATGGACATGAGGGAAGATCTTTACAAAGCATTGAATGAACTGGTTGAAGAGCAATTTGAAGAATTTAAATGGAAGCTAAAACATATTGATTGCAATAGAAAGGAAAACATTCCGAAAGCTTCATTGAAGAAAGCTAATCGACAAGAAGTTGTGGATCTCATGATTCAATATTATGAAGAAGATGCTCTAAAGGTGTGCATTCATGTTCTTCGAAAAAGTAATATAAATGATGTTGCTAAAAAACTTGAAGAAGCTCTACAGGAAGGTAAGAAAACCCAACATATTGCAAAAATGTTCTCTCTGCTTAAGGTCAACTGGAAACAAAGACCCATTGTGATTTGGGAAGCTGTCTGCCACTGAACCTTGTTCAACTGATTCATGGTTGTTGACTAGGATTGGCAGTGGCTCCCTGGGATTTCAGAGCGGGGCTTCCCTTATATCTGAGATTCCCTGTCTGGAGCCTGGAATCAAACATAAGGGAAGCCTCTGCTCTGTCACTCAGCGTGGCATTTTCCTATCGCTGTCAAAGTAAAATTACAAGCCAAGGTCAAACAAAACAAGCTAGCCCATTGATCTAAATTTAAGGGAGATGCTTAAAAGTTGAATTTAGTCCATCCTTTTTTCGAGCATGCTTCCGGACATGATACAGTGTTAAGATACCTTACAGGTGGTGATGCCATTGTTGCTACTAGGGAAGAGAGCAGAGCATGTAATGCTGGGGGGAGAAGGGAAGCATTTTCTTGCAGGAGCCCCAAGTGGAAAAGAAGTTAGAGCTGACCTTGGGGAAGGACAGCCTCTACATATCTAAAACCCCCTATGTACATTTCTGCACTAGGGATCCCAAATCTGGGAGCCAAGAATTTCCCCAGAACCAGTCCTAATCCCAAGAGGAAATGACACTTGGGCCTGGTTGCAACTTGTATCGCTGTTTCAGTTTGCCTCGTGTTCTGGTGGATGGTCTACAGGTAGTCCTTGCCTAATGACCACAATTGGGACCGAAATGTCAGTCATTGAGTGAAGTGGTCAGTAAGTGAGATACCCAGGTGACTGCTTTGCTGAACAACTGCAATCCGGGCACTCCTTGTTACAGTCATTAACCAGTGTTCTGGGTCATTAAGCAGACAGAGTGAAAGAGCTGTCTGCTGAAGGATTTCAGCTCTGTGCAGAGCTAAAATTCTCCTAGCAGGCAGCTCTTTGACAATTAAAGAGCTGCCTACGAAATGGTTCACCCCCCCCCCCCCCCGGTGGTGAATGGAGCATCTGAACATTTGAGGTCTGAAAAGGGAGGGGAAACCTCCCAGTGGTAGGCAGTTACGGAGCTCAAACTCTGAAGATTTGAGGTCCATGCTTAACCTCTGAAACCTTGCAGAGGTGTGAAGGCATGGAGCTTAAATCTGAAGATTTGAGCTCTGTAAGTGCCCACTGCCATGTCCCCTCTGCTTGCAACATTCCCTGCCAGCTTCCAATAAAGAAGCTGACAGAGAAGATTGCAAATGGCGATCACATGATCGCAGAGCACTTGGCAACCAGTCATAAATGCAAGCTGGTTGTCAAACACCCAGAATGTGGCCAAGTGACTGCAGGGTGGGGGGCGATGTTTTATGATGGCCGGAAGTGCTTCACAGGCTGTAAAGCACCCTTTCTGAGGCCATCATAATTTCAAACCATTGTTAAATGAACAGTCGTTAATCAAGGACTACCTGTATGTGGAAACAAGAGCATTCCTGAAAGAGGGCACAACCTGCCCACCGCTTGAAGAGCTGTCCAAAGATCTACAGGACTGCAGTTTCATTAAACTACTTAGGCTAGAGAAGAAAAAACTGAAAAGATATAATAGCTGACATGGAGTCATTGAAACCCAGTTCACATTCAGATGAAATATGGTGAAGAACTCACTTGGCTTCTAAAACTCCAATGCCTGAAAGAGACATACATACAGTTTGAAAAACCCAAAGGATTTGTTATGCCAAAGGGGGGCTTTGTTGTGATGAACATGGTAGGCAAACTCCCCAAATTTAAGATATACTTGGAAAGTAAATTGTGGAGGATTGTAATATTGGGATACACAGACCCCAGCCTCATTGTTGGGCAGGCAAGGATTTCTACACCTTTCCACATATGCAAAACAAACTGGGATAGAAAAGTAGAGATGAAGGTAATGCAGGGTGGGGACTCTATGCAGAGGCCAGCAGGATGAAAAATGCTGCCCAGCGGGGTGTCTTCATTAGACACTACTGCAGGAGGAATTGGGAGGGCCCTGCAGACTGAACCAATGAGCACCCAGACCCACCTCTTCCTTTCCCAGAAGGAGGGGATCAGGGGGAGCTCAAAGGTGAGGAGACAAGCCAGCTCTACTTCAATAGGAGGCAGCTCAGGCTAACTAATGTTTTCCTTCCTGACAAGGGACGCTTTGCTACACAAAAAAAACCACAATTCCAGATATTGACCTCTTGGCAGCCCTTCTCACTATGTGCTGTGCTTCTAATTCTAAGGATTCTTCTTTACAGTTCCTATGAATTGTTATGAACTCCTTTCTCTCTTTTCTCCTTTTCCTTCATTGTCAAGCTGGAGTTGCCTTACACCTGTGCCAAGCAACTGGCCTTGGCTGCTCTCTCAGCTGTGACTTGTGGGTTGACTCCTCTTAGCCCTTGGTTAACCCTTTAGCTTCCTTAGGTTTGGCTGGTGTTTTAATAGTTTCAGCCAGGTTCCTGCTATCCCAAACACCTGAAGGTACTTTAGCATCTCATAGAACTTCAGTCTTTGGCTGGGTGGGGAAAGGTTCATTAGCAGCTGCTGTATGGCTGTGGGTTATTGATGTTTCTCTGCTTCACTCTGATTTCAGCTGCTGGTGCATTTGAATTCCTCAGCTGATTTTCCTGCACTGTCTGTCACCCACTGCATACTGCACAAGCCAATTTATCCTGGCGTTTGAGCCAGTTAGCCTTGAAGAAGAGGCTCAAGTCCTTGGGCTTGAATCCTGCTCTCTTTTAGATCCATGTTCCTCCTGGTTGGTTAAGGCCTCCCAGGAGAGCCCATTGTTTTAATTGTATATATAGTATGTATTTTATATTTATTTATAGTTTTAATGTCTTTGTAACCCGCCCAGAGTCCCCTATTGTGGGGGAGATGGGCGGGGGAGAGACCAAATGAATGAATGAATGAATGAATGTAGCTGAATCCAAGAGATGGTGAATGCTCCTTGATGGGAGGGGAGGATTCCACCTGCTTGAAAGGAAGCGCCAGTTCAGTCTCTTCTTAAGAGCCATCAGTGGATCCAATTTTTGTTCGATCTGCAAACTTCCCTTTTTAGGGAAGGTTCTCGCGAAGGTGGTACAATCGCAGCTTTGAAGAGCCCTGGAGGAAATGATGATCCAGGTCCTTTCCAGTCCTGTTTCAGGTTGGAATGTAGCACTGAGATGATCTTGATGGCATTTACGGATGGCCTCTGACAGGATCAAGACATGGGGGGGATATCCATCCTAGCCCTCCCTGATCTCATTGCACCTCATTAAATGCCATCCCCAGTGCACCTTGTAAATATAAAAAACACAAAATAAAAAAAACACACACATCCCTCACATTCTATTCACCATTGCACAACCCCTGATGTTACATTAATATTGCACTATAGAGTAGAGTTCAATATATGATATTTTAAAACCTTTCAAGGAATCCACTAGGTGGCACTTCTCTCCTTCAGAGCCGACACCAAACATCAGTGAGGGAGAACAACATTTTGAAGTCCAAGAAATCTTAGATGCTAGAAGACGAAAGGGAAAGTTACAATTCCAGGTGCAATGGAAACATTTCGCTAAATCCTATTAGGAGTGGGTGGATGAAAAACATTTAAAGCACCTAAACTTGTTAAAGAGTTCTTTAAAAAATATCCAGATAAAGCAAAGTCAATGTATTTCTTGAATGTTACAATGTATCAATGCATGACAGTGTATCTTTCCTTGTGTTTTTTTTTTCTTACAGATATAATTTTCTGTGTTGAAATTCCCTTTTTCCTGGAGGAGCAGAATGTCAGAACCTCGCAATTAACTGCGTGGACTATTTGTAATTGCTAGCTTGCTCAGTTCTGCCATAGTTGTAGTGGCGGGGCAGGGGGGGTTTTTGAAACCAATTAGGTGCATAACGGTTAGTGCAGATGGTTTGGGCTTATCTAGTCTTTAGGAACCTCAAGGTCATACTGGCATGAGAGCAGAGAAAGGGTCCAGAAAGAATGAGGGGTAAGGGGGGGGCAAGTAGAAGGGCTAAGAAAGCATTGCTTTGCGTGGGCTTTTCAGTTTCAGCAATTCATTGCTACGGACTGTATGTTAATCATCAATAAACTGACTTTCTTTTAGACTTGCTGAGTCTTTGGAGAATGGTTCTTTTTATTGGGATTTAAAAGCTGCAGTGCCTGACAATCAGTATGGGAGAAGTGCAGCTAAATGCAATGCTGGATTGCTCTAAGACAGTGTTTCTTAAACTTTTTTCTCTCAGGACCACTTCCCACTTTTAAAAATTATGGAGGATTCCCAAAAGAACTGTTGTTTATATGGCTTATGTTTATCAATACTTACCATATTAAAAATTAAAATAAATGTATTCACTGCCACTACTGCTTATCACAATTGTTTGATGGGGTTTTAATATTGTATTGTTTTTCAATATAGAAGGTCTTTTGGATGCTGAAAGAAAATGTGATTTTAATTCTTCTGAAGACTGTGGCCTTTTAGTTTCTCTTCCTAGGGGCAGAAACAGGCCAGTCTCCTCTCTGTATTTCTTTAGAGGATTAGACAAAGTTTTGCTGTTTAGAAATTCTTTCCTTCCTTTACATTCGTTTGCATTTTTGGAACTTTTATCTGAATATGAAACCCATCTAAGAATTATGAGCCTTCACTGGACACAGAGAGGTGATATTGTCCATTATGCTTAAATATTTGGAATGCTTAAATATTTGTAATGATAGGTGGAAATGACCTTGGGAGAGAGGGCAACGAGGCACAGCCAAGGGAATGGTCAGGTAAAAGCATTCCCCGCAACAGGAATACGGGTGGGGCAAGAGGCTCAGAAGAGACCCTCCCTAGTTTCTTGGGCTCTAAAGGAGACCGGTGGGGGGGGGGGGAATGTACTTTCAGCTTTGCAAGATTCTGTCCATGTAGCTTTACAGTAAAGTAGAATTAGATAATCTGGTTGTGTTTCTTGTCTGGTCTACCTTGCGAGGCCAACAATATTCTTGTGCTAGGAATAGGGCTAGGAACAGTTGGAAGTTAATAGACATTTTTCTTATTTGAAGTAACACCTTTGGTCACTGATTACGCCTTGATGAGTTTCTGATTTGCCATTTATTCTGACTGTTGCAATTGCTTCATTTTACTGTAACGAATTATTCTGTATCAATCATTCTGAAATGTATAGAACACTAGAGCAGAACATATTTAGCTCAGGGTTGAACCCAACACGTGTATGATTTTACATTAAGTTTTACATTTTTCTAAAACATGTTGCTCATTTGCTTGTTATTCCAATAAATTTTGAATTGATTTTTTTTTCACTGTAATTTATCTCAGTGGCCATCCTCTATCTACTTGCTGGAGATTTATAAATTACAGTAAAAGGGATAACTGAACTGAACTTCCTGGGAGAAGTGGGCACTCTGGTTTCTTCAAACATATAGTAGCACTTCACAGGCAGAATATTTTCTTGATTAGAAGCATTTGCTTGTTCATTAAAGTCATTTTAGTTTTTACAGTTTGGGTGATGATGGTGCCACACCCATTGGCTGAAATCTCTCTTTAACTAATAAGCAAACCACACCAGAAAAACAGATTGGGCAGTAACTCTTGCTTGCTTCCCAAAGGATCATATTCTCAAAATAATCCCAAGAAAGCTCTTTCCTTTTCTTGGTGGCCAAAGTAACCTCTGAGCCAGAAGGATGGTCACAAAGACAGCTGTGCACTGACTCTTGCTTGAGAAAGGTTCCTGACAAGTCCTCCCTCTCAGCTGCATGCATGTGTGTGAGAGAGAGACATCCTTTAGCAAACCAGGCGATGCCCTGTGACTTGAGATGATGTTATCGCAGGCAGGATGCTTAGGTGGCTCCTGATCGTGCCTGAAGGAATGAAGGAGACTCAAGGACTTGAACAGGAGGATAGAAGAAGAGGGTCTGGATGCAAACAGAACAGGCAACTGATAGAAGATCCTTCAGTATTAAGCAGCATATCAAAGGATAGGATAAACAGAGAAAAAGAATCAGTTTGGAGACTTCGTCTTTTGCTTTGTTATTAAATACTTATTTTCATCAAGATGAGACTTCAGGTAGATTCACTCAGTGGAGAGACAATGGATTTCATAGAACACAAATCTTAATAATTCATAAGACAAAGATGAAATATTTTGAGATTCCTTCTTCGGAATGGGCAGAACCACTGGAGCAGTTTTTCAAATAAACCCCATAGTTTTAAAGTAATTACAAAACCAAAATGAATGCTTAGAGATTTGACTCAATTTGGAAACTTTATAAAACAAAATTTGGAGCATTTGCTGGGACTCATATGTAAGTTTCTGGGTGATAAAATACGATGCAGAAAGTGAACAAGCTAAGCACACTGTAATTAAACTGATGCAGAATTTAGACAGAACAATTGAGATGCAACAATGGGAATTTCAATGGAAGAAAAATATTAAATTTTCAGAGAATGGAGAAAACTGGCCTGTTTTATCTATCATGTATTACTCTAGTTCTTAATTACTAGAATGGATGCTTTAATGTTGGAAAAGTAGCAATTAGATTTGATAATTTCTTCATATTTGATGGCAATATTGTAAATACAGGAATTTGGGGCAATGATTTATAATACATGTAGTCCTCGACTTATGACCACTCACTTAATGACCAAAGTTACTACAGCACTGAAAAAAGTAACTTACGACTGGCCCTCACAGTATGACCATTGCAGCATCCTTGTGGTCATATGATCAAAATACAGGTGCTTGGAAACCGGCATGTATTTACAATTGTAGCATCCTAGGGTCACATGATTGCCATTTGCAACCTTCCCAGGGGGCTTCTGTCAAGGAAAGTCAATGGGGGAATCCGGATTCGCTTAAAAACTGTGGTGATTCACTTAACAACTGTGATGATTTGCTTAACGACTGCAGCAAAAAAGGTCACAGAATCAGGTGTGACTCACTTAATGACTGCATTGCTTAGTGATGGAAGTTCTGTGTCAAGTCCACGATGTCCAACTCTCAGTTCTGAAGCATTCTCATGTAACCAGTCTTGGTTCAGACAAATACTTCTTTATTAAGTATTTGTTTATCTATTTATCCCCCCTCCCCTTATTGCCTGGCATCGTGACTCCTCTTCACCTGTTGTTGACCTATCTCCTT